TACCAGCTTAGCAGTTTGGGTGGTTGTGGGTGACCATGCCGAATCTAGGGACTTCGTGCCTCATATTTCTACAAGACAAAAGGTTAGGCCCTTACCCCCACCAGACTCGACTATTTATTATCAACAATTGGCATAAAAGCTTTTTAGTTCTCCAAATAAATGCACAAAACGTTGTAGTGTCTGTTTGGGTTTTGGGAAAACCCAGTGGACTTTTGACAAGGTTATCTTAAAGAGTCATTATGCGGACAACATAACTGACTCGGCTAGGTTGACCATGATGCATGAACAGAGTAAGGTTTCTATGGGGTATTAGACTGGTACCCTTGAGCGGACGACTCAAGAGGAAAAGGCGCGGAACAGTCGACTACACCGTTGATCGACTGGTTTTACCGCAAATATGCCTTTTCCGGATTTAGGGGGTGATAATATTGGAAGGGTGCAACCACTCATTATAGGACAAAGGGGAAAGGGAAACAATTCACATTGATACACATAGGGGTATAGGGAATGGGGAGATAGTAAAGGAAAAGCAACAGCAGGCTAGTGGGGCATACTCAGCAATGAGGAATGCTGGCCTACCCCATAAGCCTGTCAGAAAACATTGTTTAGAAGTTAGGATCCTTTAAGGGATCAAGTTCAAACCATAGGCAATAACTTGCATATTGCCGTGTTTTAAACTATAACTCTCAGCACATAAATGGAATAGGGAGGATGGGTTCATGACAGAAACAAGCAAAAGAAAATAACATGCTAGTTTAAGTATTTAGATCTGCAGAAGTAATAAAGTAGACATAGATGTAGAAAGCTGTAAGTTAACACATTGTGGTGATGCTGCAACTTAAATTAGAACATACCAGTTTCAAGGGAAAAAATCAAAGAGAAAGTGTAGTAGTCTTGTGAAAGCCACAGAATAGACAAGAAGAGAGTGCTAGTAAGAGTTCAGAGGAGATTGTAAAGTAGTAGTGGAGGATTGTTAATCGTGTGTGCTATGTGTTAAAGAGTCGTGTATTTATAGTGCAGAAAGAAGGCAGAAATAAGGTAAGAAAATAGTTTGAAAATTGATTGTCAATCAATTACACAAGGCTTCCCTTAATTAAGGGATTCAGATTCAAACGGATAAAACCAATTAAGGAAAGAAATTAATCAAACACTTTGTGCAAAGTAGTAAATTAGGGGCAAATACATAAAGGCTATTTAAGGACAAGGTCTTTGAAATACACGGTTGTACAATTTAAGGAAAGAAAATCAATTAACAGCCAAGAAATCTGAGGCCAGAGATTTTGTACGAATAAACCAAGTCAGAAAGATGGGAAAGATTTTTAAATTAAGGAAAATCAGCAAACAAATCAATCAAACTTATTTAAAAGGAATTCTGAATCAATCACAAGTTTGAAAACCTTTTTCGAAGAAAGATTCATCACATATAAAAGCATACAGACACGTTAAACATGAAGGTAACTTTGTCATGCCCTTGTAAAAATCAGTAGAAAGAATCCAGTGTAGAAGAGTTTAGCAAAAGGTTCGACATTGTATGAAAACAAAGGTGTAAAATCAGTTCAGAGACTCAAAGTTAGTCTGACAGAGTTAGGGGTTTTTAAATAAAACCCTAGTTCAAGCAAACCATAAAACAAGGATGAGAGGGCAGGAAATTGAATCAAAATCATGTTCAGAAGTTTCAGAAAAGGACGGGCTTCTTCAACAACAGAACTTATGAAGAATATGATAGCAAAGTAACATGCAATCACAGTAGAAGGATTCAAAGAACATAATGGCAAATACTGATACGAACAGTAGAAAAAGCATGCTTAGAAAAATCTTAAACATGGCTCAGTAGAAGACAAACAGAGAAACTTAAAAACTTAGCAGGATAATACAGTAGAAGAACACAAGAACACCGGAAAAGTATAGCAGAATAGCGTATAGGAAAACACAGTAGGATAAACATATAAGAACATGGTAAAAGTACAGTAGAGAAGTCTACGAGACCATAGTATAGGAAAACACAGTAAGAGAAGCATACAAAAGATGATACGAGAACACAGCAGAGGCAAACCAGGAATAACAAAGAAAAAAAATCATAAAACACTTAAACACTTTCAAGAAAACCCTAAATCAGAAAAGAAGGGTGTTGTAAGTAATTTTAAAAATAAAAGTTAGGGAAATCATTTGAAAACTCAAGTAGAGCATAGATACACAACAGATCTAAAAAGAATTGGAGAATAACCTCGAAGGGTTAGGGTTTCAGAAGAACCCTAGAATGAGAAAGGCTTCGATAAGGTCATTGACCTGAGTCGGAGAAGTTAGAATCGGGCTCAGAAGACCAGGATACGCCGGAGCGAGGCCGGAGATGGTCGTGAAACCTCGAGCCTGCAAAGGTCTGGATGAAAACCTTCGAGGTCGGACCTCGAATCTTTAGGTACCAGGCACATAGGAGTAATAGGAGGTGAGTATAGGACTTCCATGGCCTGAGAAGCCATGATTTCCGGTGGGTTTCACGGTGGAGGTGGTAGGAGACGATTAGGGTTCCAGGAAGGTTCGAGAGAGTTTGAGAGAAGGGGGTGTTTAGAGGCGGCTGATTAAGTGAAATGATTTTAGGGTTGGGGGGTTTGGAAATTAAAAAAGGAAGGGGGAATTGTGGCCGTTGATCAAAATGATCAACGGCCTGGATCTAAAAAGGGGAGCCGGGTGGGTTTTTTTTAATTGGGTCATGGGCGGGTAAATTTAGGATTTGGTCCGGTTCAATTAGATTTGAAATTGGGTTAGCTGGGGTGGTCGATTTGGGCTACAATTGAATTGAAATAGGGCTAGATTTTAAATAACCACTTTTCCCCCTTTTATTTTATAAAAATAGTAAAATGACTTCTGAAAACAAATTAAAGGTACTAAATTAATTAATAATATATAAATATTAAATTAAAAATACTGGAATCAAATTGGTAATTATAAACGCAATTAATTCTTAAAATAGGCTAATATTGCAATTATATGCAATTTAGCTTTAAAAAATACTAAACAAAATTTGTAAAAATGTGCAAAAAATTACCTTAGCTATATATTGGGATAAATATGAGAATAAAATAAATTAATCACCAAAATGATAATTTGAGGAATAATTATTGGTTTTTGTATAGCTAAAATAGGGCAATAAATTGATTTAAAAATCTTTTAAAAATCTGGAAAAATACTAAAACATTTGGACACTCTTATATATGCAGACATATGTTATTTTGAAATTATTTTGCATATAAAAAATATACAGGGAAAAATTGGGTATCAACAGGCGCCGGACACCATTGTCAGGCAAGCCAACACTAAATCGTAAATTAAATTCTCATTTTAATATTTTTGAAATTATGAATTTTCTTCAATTTAGCTAGCAAAAGATGAACTTTACAGAATAATAATAATATCTTCCAATTTCAATATTGAATATCCCATAATTCATTCTAGAACTCGGTGTCACAAGTGCATGAGCATCTACTAGGAAGTAAAATAAAATATAACAACTGTCCGGAATACAAATGTGGACAGAAAGGAAAAATACAAGTACTCTGAAGGAGACTCTGTTGGCTGCGGATCGTTTCATAAGACGCAGCTCACCTAGGTCCCCGTATCAACCACGCCGTTGCGCCCAAAAGGCCACTAGACATATTTGTGCATGTAAAATAAAATATACAACATGTGTAGTATGAGTACAAAAATAACGCATACCTAGTAAGTATCCAGTCGAATCTCGAAGAAGTAGTGGCGAGAGGTCGACTCTGACACTCACTATGGCCAAAACAATATATTGATAATATTATTAATCATAGATTATTATAAAATGATTGTAAACTCAATAACATGAAATGAGTAAACAATTCTTTTGTTAATAGGAGATTTCCAACTTTATTTTTATCATTTATCAACTTATCATAGGCCAATGAGGCAATATCATTTACTATCAATGTCAATCAATCAATTCAGTCATGCACAAGTCATGCCGAGGTAGTACGGCCCGATCCAACATATATTAAACTGTGCACTGCCGGAGGGTCGAACGGTGCGAACTATAGATGCATCTATTAAATCTACCGAGGCGTTCGGCCTATTCCACAAAAGAAAAACACAATCAAACAGTCAATCAAGTATTTATCAAGGAGCATTTATCCAAGGAAATGTCAATCCTCTTTTAACAATCAAGAAAATGAAGTTTAACCTTTTAGAAATTCATTTACCAATTCGATATGATTTAAGCAATTTAAATTGACAATAAGGTTACAAATATTGCAAGTATAGCATGCTTTTGGGTCCTAAACTACCCGGACTTAAGCATAATAGTAGCTACGCACGGACTCTCGTCACCTCGTGTGTACGTAGCCCCCACAAATAGAAGCACATATTGAATTATTTTACCTATGGGGTAAATTCCCTCTTACAAGGTTAGAAAGGAGACTTAACTCGCTCCGAAGTTCCATATTCGGCTCCCAAGCCCTTCCAGCGACTCAAACCGATGCCCAACGCTCCGAGACTAGTCAATAATTGTGCAAACCCATAAATATATACTCAAATACTCATAATAATCCAATTTATAATAATTTCTAACCCCGGTCGAAAAGTCAATAAAAATCACCCTCAGACCCACGTGCTCTGATTCTGAAAATTTTCGAAAATAACTTTACGCATAACACCACGAACTCAAAAATATAACTTATTCCCAATTCCATGCCCAAAAATCATGGTCAAAATTCAAATATACAAAATACTAGGTTTTTCCACCAAAAACCCAATTTTCACTAATTTCCATGTTCAAATCCATATAAACTCAAGTATTTAACTCAAAATTGTGAAGAAAGCACTTACCCCATTATGATTGATGAAGATGGCACTCCAATGTGCTACAAAATCTGCTCTCATGGGCGAAATGAAGTGAGATAGAGCCAACCCTCATTTCAAAAGAGGACACTGCTCAGCTTCGATTATTGCACCTGCGGTCACTTGACGCTTCTGCGGTTCCGCAGGTGCAACCCAAATATTGCTTCTGCGCTTTCGCTTTTGCGGCTCCTCACGCGCAAGAGCTGTCCCGCTTCTGCAGAACTTGACCACATCTACGGTCCACGCCTCCCCCAGCAAAATCTGCTTCTACGAGTCCTTTCCCGCACCTGTGGCCCTCTTCACGCAGGTGCGATTACACCAGATGCCCAGCTGCTTCAGCCCTTCCTCAAATTCCATTTTCGATCTGTTAACCACCCGGAATCCACCCGGGGCCCCGGGACCCCGCCCAATCACACCAACCAGTTCCATAACATAATGCGGACCTGCTCGAGGCCTCAAATAACCTCAAACACCATTAAAACCATAAATCACATTGCAATTCAAGCTTTATGAACTTTAGAACTTCAAACTTCCTCATTCGATGCCGAAACTTATCAAATCACTCCCGATTGACCTCAAATTTCGCACACAAGTCAAATTTGACATTACGGACCTACTCCAACTTCCAGAATTAGATTCGGACACCGATATCAAAAGTCCACTTCCGGCCAAACTTCTCAAAAATCTTAAAATTTCAAATGACTCCAAAACGACCTACAAACATCCAAATTCACTTCCGGACGCGCTCCCAATATCGAAATCACCATATGGAACTATTCCCAAACTCGGAATCCCAAACGAACATTGATAACATTGAAATGCACTTCAACCCAAATTTATGAAATTCTTCCAAAATGCCAACATCCACAATAGAAGTCGAAACGCTACCCNGCTCTAATCCCTGAGTTGAGCCTTTTTAGACATAGGGCCTCCATTCCCTAGTCGTCTTTTGCCAACATTAGGGCTCCAATCCCTGAGTTGTGCCTTTTAGACATAGGGCCTACATTCCCTAGTCGCCTTTTGCCAACATTAGGGCTCCACTCCCTGAGATGAGCCTTTTAGACATTGGGCCTCCATTCCCTAGTCGTCTTTGCCAACATTAGGGCTCCAATCCCTGAGTTGAGCCTTCTAGACATAGGGCCTCCATTCCCTCGTCGCCTTTTGCAAACATTAGTGCTCCAATCCCAGAGTTTAGACAATCAATCTGCATTTGGTCAAGGCATGTCTATGATCCATAACATCTTAATATGCCATGATCTCCTCAGACACTACAGTCGAAACCACCCGAAGATGTCTCATGAAAATAGATCTCAGGAAGGCGTATGACATGGTTAGTTGGGAATTTTCGGAGAAAGTTTTGAGGGGGTTTGGATTTCCTGAGAAGTTCATCAGTTTGGTCATGACATGATTATCTACTCCAAAGTACACTATCAAAGTTAATGGAGAAAGTCAGGGCTATTTTGATGATCAGATAAGGATCAGCCAAGGGGATCCTATATCTTCTTATTTTTTATGTTATTGATGGAACACTTAACTAGAGTCCTAAATTGTATGAGTATGTTTCTAGAATTCAAATATCATGCGATGTGTAAATATCTAAAACTCACTCATCTGATCTTTGTGGATGACCTAATGGTATTCTACAAAGGGGATGAAGACTCAGTCAACAGAGTTCTAGAGGCTTTAAACCATTTTAGTGTTGCTACATGACTCATTTCCAACATGGATAAATCACATATGTTTGTTGCTGGTGTACCTGATTATGTTAAAGCTCAATTGTTGGACAAGACTGGATTTGCTCAAGGGACTTTTCCTATTAGATACTTAGGCTTACCTTTGTCATCTACGAAATGGAGTAAGCTTGAATGTCAACAATTGATCAACAATATTACAAGCCGGATAACAACTACTTATGCAAGACAATTATCATATGCTGGAAGGCTGCAAGTACTCAATGTTGTCCTGTTTTCTATACACAACTTTTGGGAATTAATTTTCATCCTGCCACAGAGCATCTTAAAAGAAGTTGATAGGAAATGTAGGGAGTACCTATGGGGTAAAACTTGGGAACAAAAGAAAGCATCCTTAGTCTCTTGGGATAAGGTCTGTTTGCCAAAGAGTAGAGGAGGATTAAATGTCAAGGATTGCAAAACATGGAACATTGCTTCGATGGGTTAAGCTATTGTGGCAATTGTTAGAAAGAAAGGTCTCTCTATGGGTAGGATAGGTACATAGTGTGTATATAAAAACAAACTCAAATATATAGAGTCATAATGCACCTCAAGATGGTGGCTGATACTGGAGAAAGATCAATTTCTTCAAGAACCAGATGCAAAGCTGGTATGACCAGGCAAGATATATTCTCACGGCTGGGGGACGATACTCAATCACTACAATCTACTTGCATATGAAAGGAGAGCACATCAAAATGGAAGTGGCAGATCTCATTTGGAATTCAGTAGCTCTACTTAGACACAAATTTCACATATGGTTAGTAGTCTATGGTAGGTTACCGACAAAAGAAAGATTACTCAAATTGCACATACCAATAGAAAATCCCAATTGTTGCTTATGTGACAATCAGGTTATGGAAATGAGTACACATTTATTTGTGGACTGTAATTGAATTACAACTTTAAGATTTGAACTTACTCAATGGACTAATGTTCAGTTTCCCGTTGGAGAGCTGAAACAGGTGTTGGAATGTATCAAGAGGAAGCACTGGAAAGCATTCCAAAAGGAGGTGATAGTAGCTGTTTGGGGAGCCATGACATACCAGACCTGGCGAGCTCAAAATTAGAAATTGTTCAAGGGTGCTATACTACAACCAGCAGAAGTAGAAATACAGATAAAGAGAGAAACTGTACAGAGAATAGAAGTACTTAGATCGTCAAAAAAAAGAGTAGAGAGCTTTTACATAGAATACTTAGTACCTAGAATACATGTTGAATCAAAGGTCTTCTGCATACTTCTAATCAGCTACTTGTCGGAGGCTTATTGTCCAGTGTACCCTTCCTAGAAGGTGGCTATGAAAATAAGTGCTCTATAGGTGTATTAATTTGATTTGTTAATGGTAATATTTACATTGTTACCAAAAAAATATACAAGTACATACTATACATATAATATTTATACAACAATAATATATTACGTATATGTAATATTTATTCGACAAATATATGGTAGAGTAAATCATAAAATTAATATATTCCCAAAATACATCATATATCACTATGCATATCCAAATAATTACCTGTATGTATATATTAGTTATATACGTTGTCTATGATATAATAGTAATATACAAGTAGTATACTATATAAATAACATTTATATATATATATA